GTATATATACTACACCATCAAAAGTCTAGTTTCCATTCATCACCATATAATTGACTCCCTTTACTCATTTCACCCTTTCTCCACCCTCCTTCTTCTCTGGTAACCACTGATCTATTGTCTGCTTCTATGAATTTGTTTTTTGTTTGTCTGTTTTGTTTTTGTTTTCATATTACACGTATGAGTGAAATCATGCAGTATTTGCCTTTTTCTGCCTGTATTATTTCACTTAGCATAATACCCTCAAGGTCCATTCATGTCGGAAATATCAGGATTTCACTTTTTTTATAGCTGAGTGGTATTTTATTGTATCTTTATCCATTAATCTGTCAATGGACACTGAGGTTGCTTCCATATCTTGGCTTTTTTAAATAATGCTGCAGTGAACAGAGGTGTGCATATGTCTTTTCAAATTAGTGTTTTTGTAGTTTTAGATAAATACCCAAAAGTAAAATGACTGGATCATGTGATACTTCCAGTCTTAATTTTTTTGCGGACTCTCCATACTGTTTTCCATAGTTGTTATGCCAATTTACATTCCTACCAACAGTGTACAAGGGTTCCGTTTTCTCCATATCCTCTCCAACACTTATTGTTTTCTGTCTGTTTGATGATAATCATTCTAATAGGCATAACCACAGATTTTTTAAAATAGCTATAGATGAGTTGTTCATTTCCATAGTTTCATATAAGGTAGTCCTTCCTTCTCCATGGTTTTGATTGCTGTTATATGTGGTCAAATGCAGTCTGAGAATATTAAATGGAAAATTCCAGAAATAATTCATAAGTTTTAAATTGCATGCCGTTCTGCGTCCTGCTCCATCTCAACTGGGATGTGAATCATCCCTGTTTCCAGTGTTTTACACTGTACTTGCTACCCACCTGCTAGTCGCTTGGTAACCATCTCAGTTGTCAGACTGGTTATCAGATATTTTGAGAGAGTGAAAGAGAGACCACATTCACATAACTTGTATTACAGTATATTGTTATAATTGTTCTATTTTATTATTGTTATGAATCTTATACTATGCCTAATTTATAAATTAAACTTTATCATAGGTATGTGTGTGTGTGTATGTATACATATATATGAAAAAACCTAGGGTATATAGGGTTTGGTACTATCTGTGTTTCAGTCATTCACTGGGGGCTTGGGACATATTTCCCACAGATAAGGGGGAGTACTGTAAATGAAATCATGCCTGGTAATGTAAAAATTTTTTAAGTTTTTTAAAAATTAAAGTATAGTTGACATATAATATTATATTAATTTCAGATGTACAGCATAGTATTTTGATGTTTATATACCTTATTACATGATCAGTACGATAAGTGTAATAACCATCTGTCATTGTACAAGGTTATTACCATGTTGACTATATTCCCTATGCTATATATTACATCCTTGTGACTTATTTATTTTATAACTGGAAGTTTGTACCTCTTATTTCCCTTCACCTTTTTCACCCATGTCCCTATCTCCCTCCTGGTAAGTTTTTTATTGAATTCCAGACAGAGTCATGTGCCACTTAATGGTGGGATATGTTTTAAGATTTTGTCATTGGGTGAGCATCATAGAGTGTCCAAACCTAGATGTCTGCTACACACCTAGGCTATATGGAAAACATATTGCTCTTAGGCTACAAGTCTGTACAGCATGTTACTTATGAAACAACAGAAGATTAAATCAAGCACAAGAGAAAATGATGCAATCAAGAGATACTGCAAACATGACATGGATGAGGTTACTATTCGTGTACCATGGCATACTGTTTTACAGCATACATTTTGTTTATAAGTAGAAATAGTACACTCTAAAATAATGATAAAAAGTATAGTATAGTAAATACATAAGCCATAAAATAATGGTTTAGTATCTTTATCAAGTATTATATACTATATGTAATTGTATGTGCTGTGCTTTTATATGACTCGCAGCACAGTAGGTTTGCTTACACCACCATCACCACAAACAGAGTAATGTGTTGTGTACTCTGGTGTTACAACATCACTAGGTGATAGGAATTTTTTAGCTCCTTTATAATCTATGGGACAATTGTACATGGGGCGAGCCATTGACCAGAACGTTGTTATGCGGTGCATGAATGTATGGTAAATTTGACCTTGTTGGGTGCTGGATGTTATTGTACTATTTTCTGTAAATACTTTTTAAGTTTTGTTCTGGAATGCAGTTGAATCAGCTTCATCCTTTGGGGTCTTGCTTGTACAGTTTGTTAGGTGGGACCTGAGTAGGGATTAGTTTTGGGCTACTTCAACAGAGACTGAGTCCTCTACCTAATGCTCCATGAATTGTGAGGTTTTTCCAGTCTGGCTGGTGGGAACAGGCACTATTCCAGTCCCTCTGTGAGTGTCACTTCAGGTGGTTCTTTCCTCTGTCTGGATTGTTTCCTCACTGGCACGTGCTG